GTTTTTATCTGTGCCATCTATCTTGAAATTACCAATTACTCTATTGAACTATCAGCTTCCCTTGTTTGTGACCCTGGCTTAATTCCTGATATCAGCTAAGAAATCAAGATGAGTCATATGGAAGCATCTGTCAAGCCTAAAAATTGTTGTTGAAAGTGAACTGATGTGAAAGGCAGAACAGAATTCTGTTTTAGCCCAGCTGGCTATGCTGCCATATAGCTTCCTACACTCCGCTAGAAAATGCTTTACAGTTTAGTGAACTTGTTAAATATTTCTGTTCCAGTTGATAGTTTGTCTGAAAATAGCAGAGATTGATTAGGCTGGAAGGAAAATAGTATCAGCATAATGTGGATTTTACATGCTAAAAAAACCCCAACAAAAAAAATACCCACCCAAAAAAATACAGAAGAAAACTTTGCTTTGATTTCATGAAAATATGTAATAAAGGTTCTGGAATAGTCTGACATTTTGATGTAATGAAAAGTAACTAAATTACAGGAAAATGACACTGGGCACTGTGGATTTTAACCTGCTGAAGTCAGACTTCTATCCTTGAGTCCTAACTTCAAAGCTGGTACTTCTGACCTCATTTTTCAGAAGTGCTGGGCATTCACAGGTCTCGGTGAACCTTCCATCTGGTACATTATTCTTTAGATCTAGTGATGAATTTTCGTGATTCTTTTTTTCATCCATTTTCCCAAAGCAACTTGAATGACTCTGCTATAATTTGACTGTCCTGTTGGACGAGTAGCACTACACACAGACATGAGCACCAAAACCTCAATTGTATAAAGTACATGGGGTGCAGATAATTTGTATCTCTAGCCCCCCATCAGGGATTGTCTTATGTAACTTCATTTCTGCAGATATGCCAATAATTATGATTTACTTAATAGTGTAACTGCTATGTTTCTTGACTGTGAAATAATGTTGGTTGTCATCACTCAAATAAACCTATCCTTATTAGTTATTTGGCATAAAATAGCCTGTAATAGCAGAATGTGTTTTCTAGACATCCGTTCTACAGGACTGGTGAATTACTCCTTTGATGGGTAGCCAAGCCTCAAGATCCAAGAGACCTAGCATTGTTTCTGCTGATGCTGCTACCTGTGAGAGTTAGGATAAGTTTTTAATCCAGTTTTTCTAGCCATAAAATGCCAAAAATTCTAGGCTAGCTCTAAAGGCTTTTATTAATAAATGCATGTGGACTGGCTAATAAAGAAATGTCTAGGTTCTCAATTTTTAAGTAAAATGTCAAGTAAACTGGACTTTCTACTGTAAAACTTTGACCAGCTGCCAAAATAGTCCACATCAAAATTTTCCAAATACCCTTTGAAAATACCAGTGAGAAAGGATGAACTATATAGCATGGCCTGAATTTTTAAAGACTCTGATGCCTGCAGGGAATTCTGAGGATTACTGAGAGAAGAAGCTGTCAGGACCAGCTTTACATTTTTGTAAACCCTCTGATTGTCTCCTTTGCAGCACCAGTTTCAGAGGAGAGGGGTGTGCAGACACCAGTGCTTTTGAGTGTAAAAGATTTAAAAACAAACAAAAAACCCAACCCCCCCTGCAGTTTGGAAGTGACTGGCAATAGAACTGATTTTGCTGTTCTGAAGAAACGTATTGTTGGTATGAACCCCCATTTATTTCAACACGGAGCTGCTTCTCATCTTCGATTTCTACATGTTTTCAGAGTACAGCTCCAAACAGGGAATACTACAGTGATTTAATTGTGGCCTGCTAGTGACCACCTCTGGCTGATGCCAAAGACAGACAGAATCTCATGGACAGCAGAATTCTGTTTGCTTAGGAAAAAGTTCCCTGGGAAATGTGAAGAAAGAAACGAAAAATAAAATCATAGTGCTCCAGGTGTTGCTTAAAGTGAGTCATCTTCTGAGAGAGTGAGCACAGAAGCATGTCTCATCTGAAACATATTGAGACATAATGGGTGTAAGACGGGTGATTTTTGTCATTGTATTTGCAAAAGCAGCTTGGTTGCATCTCTTGTGGAAAGCTGCTTCTCTTCCAGATTTCTACATGGGTAGCCTGGAGGTAAAGTCATAATCCCTCTGGTGTCCGTTCAGAAGGAAATGCTGATATTTAGTTAAAATATAGTAGACTGATTTCTATCAGTATATTCTAAAGCCACTGGAAGCCATTGCCTGGTGGCAGTTTCACAGATGCAGGACTGCAGATACCCAAGGCTTGGAAGGTGGTGTCCAAAACGGTGTTGAACTGTATCCTGTTATAGTAGTTACAATATGAGTACATACATAGTACCTCCATCCTGACTTGGGAAAGGGACAGTCTTCCAAGATGTGTTCAGCTCTGCTAAGTTAGTGGTGATCCCATTCCCAAGCTCTCATTCGAGGATAGTTTATGACCACGGTTGGCTACTTTCAAAGTCATTTCTGCTGGCTCAGAAGTTTTGTTTAGTATTTCTCCTGAAGCAGTAGTTCTAACAACTCAAATGTGTGTCACCTACCTAGGAATGAAAGCAGCTTAAGATGTGTGTAACCTGGCTTTATTCTTTGAAGTACATATAAGGCTTGTGGGAAATATTTGTATCCCATTTCAGAGACTGAAATCTTTATCTACAGTGTAGATTCAGGTTTGCCAAATACATGAGAAGCCTTACCCCCATCTTTTACAAATGCTGATTCCCATACAAATACATGGAAAACTAATAAATACTAATAAATCCAAATATACTTTTCTCAATTTTAGTTTTATCTGCTTGGCGTAATAAAATATTATTAAATCCACATGGTACATAATTCAGCTATCATTACGTGAAGAAGCCAGTTTGCCTTAGGCTACTGGATGGATTTCTTGATTTGTGGTTTTTGTTTTGTTTCTTTAAGTACCTCTTCCTTTTACTTCTAACATCATTGTCTAATGAACATATCACTCCACAGCAACTTTAAAATCCCATGGATGACTCAAAATTAAATTCTTTAGGGTATCAGGAAAGCAACTGTACAGCTTAAGGCAGGAAAGTATAAGATGCTGTTATGAAGACATCCAGAGGGTATAATAAAGCAACATGCACGTGCAACCACTGGATCTACAAAACCCCAAATCTGCATAATTTGGAGATTTAATCAGGAAGATAGTTTGCATGTGTAGTTGCTTGTTCATGTATACAAGATGAACAGTATGCCCATTAAAAAATAGTTTATTAAATAATGTAAAGTACTGAAGCTTGCTAAGGTAGGTCATGAACTGTGGGAATGCTAAACATTATTATCTATTGTAATATAGTTTACATATCTGTAGGTGCTTTAAAAAAGGAGCCAAGTGATAGGCATAATCATCGACAAATACTACTCTGCTTTCTCCTCTAATGAGATCAGTTGATGGCTCCACGCTATATGTGTTAAGAATTTTAATGGAGTAATGACTAAGTAATAACTATGAACTTTTTTATTTCTTTATCTATCTGACAGGTTAGAGATGTGGAGAAAGTAGACAGCCCTCCCTGCAAGAGGCACCAAGGATAAATAGAGGAGATGTCACTTGTTAGCTTTGTTCTCCATAAGACAGCAGCAGAGCACTTGACAGTCCCTTCTGCCTCTGTGCAGCAAAACACTCCTTAAATAGACCATTGTGGCACCTGGAAGATGCTGTCAGTGTTGAATACAGCTTGGCCCCAAACAGATTTGTTTCCCCTGAGTTCAGTGAGTGTTCTTATTTGTGAATGTGAAATAAAGTACAAAGCAAATTACAAGATATAAAATGTGATCTAAGCCCTTCTACTGACTCAGCCAGGAAGAAATTTTTTCAGCATCTCTGTCAAAGGGTTGCTGTCCAAGTTCATACTGGCCCAGCTGGACTCCTGTGTGATAAAAAGCGTGTGCTTACTGCGAGTGTATTCCCCTAGTTGAGGCATGATCTCTTTGTACATCTTTTGGTTACCTGTTTGACAGATAAAAAGCAAGTTAGCCTCTGCCTACACAAGAGTGATACGCAGTTATATCCTGTGTCTATTTTAGAAAATGAACCTTTGGAAGAAAAATGTTGCTCATGCTGAAGTGGAGGAGGAGATATCGGGCAATCTCCCCTCCCTCCCACTCACAGCCCAAACTATTGGGACTTTTTGCTTTTTAAAAATCCAACTAATTATGTTGTTCTGCTCCTGGTTTGGATTGAGCAAAGGCTGATGAAAATTTATGGCTTTAGGTCTACAAGAGATGAGCTAGCTACTTAATTGGCAGCTGTCTACCTGCTGAGAGAAACAGACCAGTTGTTCTTGTTGGCAGATTAAATTTTTTCAGCTACATCCAAAAAAAGGAATTCATGTCTATTTGCTGGTTCCTGGCAGGATTTCTCTCTTGCATAAGCTTATCTCTGAGGAATAGTGGATCTGGATTTTTGTTTGCAAGGAAGTTGATATTTTTTACCATGTTTTGTAAATCTCGGTGTTGTGAAACATCTCTTTATTACTGTGGCAACGTCAACTGCTTCTTCTTTAGAAGACTGATAAGTTAAAGATATCACATTTTCCATACAAATGAGGAAACTTGCTTCTCATGTGACTTTTTAAAATTGAGTATTATTTCAGTTGAAGATGCTGGATTTAACAATAAGAGAAGTAGTTTTCTTTTTATTCAAGGTTGTTTTCGGTTGATGGGGGGTTCAGTGTTCCAATTACTCTTTAATTGTGCTTGAGCATTCGCAGGTGTTCTGGTGTGGCTAATAGAGGTCTCTGACTTACACAGTCCCAACAAAAGTCAGTGTGCCTTCTGTGGTGTTTCATGTTACAGGTCAGTATGAAAAATAGAATTGGCTGGAGCCTGCTCTGAAGGGTTCTCTAGGCTGAGTTTTGATGTGTATGAGAGGGAATAAAGTTTAGTACAGCCTTTTCAGCTCTCTAAACTGATGCCAAATATGTCTGTTCTCTCTGACATAAAAACAGTTTATATTTTTGTGTGTGTATATATAATTCTTTTACAAATTTGTTTTAAGGTCTGTAGACTGAATTATTTGGGAAGAAAATGAAGAGTACTGCCAGGCCTTGGAGTGCAGTGGCAAAGCAGGGGAGTCATGGGGTTGACAGAGGAAAATCGCTTTCCACCACCTCAACAGGAATGAAGACATCCAAGTCCTCGACTTCACTTGCCTTTGAATCTCGGCTTAGCAAGGTACTAACCAGTAGGGACTGTGCAAGCATCATAGCCTTGTTCCAGGTTAAAACTTTGGTTCAGTCCTGGAATGTTACTATACCCTGAGACTTGGAGTGGCCTCGACCACTGTATTAAGCAATTGTGTTGTATGTTAGACTAATGCATATTTCTGAAAATATTTTGCATGTGATGGGGGAGACACTGTATCTGTACAAGATATGAGTGGGTTCTCTTGCACTGTCTGTGTGAGGGAATTGCCTTAACTTTGAAGATGGAGAAAAGTAAATAGCAAATTCTTAGTTCAACTGATTGTTACATATGTAAAGAAATTGAAAGAGACTTATTAATGGATTTCCAGAATTCCTAAAAACCATTGTGCCTCTTCCTTCAAGGCAAGATACATTAACAAAAGACTACTTGCAATGGAACAAACACATTTGATGAATCCTATCTTTCTATACAGATACATTTCAAAAATAGCAGAAAATTCTGTCCAAGTAGTGTTTTTAAGAAAATGGAGTAATACACCTGAAATGCTGCTGCATCTGTACCCTTGCAGCCAGCAAACAAAAATAACCTGTTGCCCAAATCCAGACCAAGGTAGCTGTGATGAAAATGGACAATGGGCTTCCTGGTTATAGTTATTCCCAGTAGTGAAGTTAAGTGAACACTACATAACATGGCACAGCATTTTAATAGAGAGAAGATCTAAACTTCATTAATCATCACAGTTTCTTGAGTGAAGGATTAATTTACTTAACTTACTTTTTAGACTCCTAGATGCTCTGAGCAGCTTCTCAATAGGATATTTCAGTCTAGTGCTCCAGGCAGGTTATGTTCGTTGTTGGAGTATGTGCTGTATGGCTGAGGCAAGCATCTCTGAAGAAATGCTGCTGAAGAGATTAATTGGGCAATCTGATATGATTAATTTGTGTATGGTGATAAACATAGAGGCTTTTCATCCCAATTATAGCTAAAATCTTCAAATTGTTGATCATCTGCAAATGCAAGATCATCAAAGTGGTTTCCTTGAGGAAACAGGGTAGAAAAAGGCACCATAGTTGCTGCTGTAGAAGAGGGCACATCAAAGAAATTACTTTAGAGCGACTGCAGAAGTCTCTAAAGGCCAGAAAGTCAGATTGTTCTAGTCTGCTCCTAAGACTGAGCTGACAAAGCCTCTGCCAGAAGGCAAAATGTTAGCTGTTTGGTGTCCTGGAGCAGATTAACACTTCAGCTATTGAAACTTGCATGCTCACAGGGTCCAGGAAACCACAGACTAGGGGTCAGGTGGGGGGACGAAAGGGAGAAAGAATTGATGCTCAGAGACTTCTTTCTGTATAAATATTTTGCATTCAGGAACCACTAAATAGGGAGAGTGCTTGTTGTGTGCTCTCCCTTTCATTTAACTCAAGGTTTTCAGCCTGTGGCTCACGGACCCCCTGGGTGTCACTGGACAACTTCAAAGGAAGTGGGTTTTGATTTGTGAAAAGAGTTTAGGTGTCCACAAACTGAAAAGGATAGAAAAATATACTGTTCTAGGGAGAGTCTCCAGAGCTTTGGTCTTTTATAATGCCTGAAGTATTTTTCCTGAAATTAGAGGCTGTTGTTAGAGGTGTACAGGCTGTTGTGAAGCCACACAGAATGGAAAGCAGATGACTGAAGTTCTGAGATAAATTGCTACTTCTGCTTGTTGAAACAACATAATTTCAGTGTTTTTCCTTGAATCTTCAGTTCATTGTGCTTGTGTTGCATGGATTTCTGGAGTATGCATTTAGAGTAGACTTGCTTTACCAGAAATCCCCCTCCCAAAAAAGACCACACAGCAATGATGGTCCCTTGTTTTCTCATGTCTAGTGAGGTTTACTGAGTAATTTTTTTTGCTGCGAATAATTTCTTTGGTGGTCACATGAACAAAATGCTTTCTTGTGAATGGACTTTTCAGTTTCTCTTCTACTGAGTCCTACAGTCCCTAGTAAAACAAATAGTATTAGGTCCCGCCATGAGATAATCAGCCATCTTTGCTTACTGCTTTTCAATAAACAAGGAGGATAAATAGCTGAAATCATACCATGTTTAAGATAAAGGGCTTCCAACAGGTAACTGTGTTAGATCTTGCTCTGTCTGCTCTTGCATTTTATTGTGGCAACCTGAGCTTCTCAGCTAAATGATTTTCAGATTTTGGCTTTGTCTGCAGCATGGTCTTTGTTCGTGTCAGGTAACCTAGTTTCTGAGGCCACAAAGTTTGGTGATGCCTGTTTGACAAACACGGGAAGGGACTGGCAGTTGCCTGCTATTGGAATAGCTCGGAAGCCTCTTCGGAGGATCTAAGGTCTGCTTTGGGGCAAAACTGCATGATCCTGAGCGGAGAGGCAAGAACCAGCAGTTCCTTTCAGGAAGTGCCAGTTATTTGCTGCTTTGACCTACTTGGTGTGTCAGGCTCTGCACCTAGCACATACCTGCACAGGCCCAAATGCCTGACTAAATGTAAACCTGTGAGGAAATACGATGACTGCTGTTCAGAGCAAGAATTGCCTGTAGTCCACTCCTGTAAGCTATCTGCTGCCTTTCAATTATTTGCTTATTTGAACGATCTTTCCCATTTTCGTTCTTCACTCTTGAAACAGTGTTATCTCTTAACGCACTTCACAAAAATCTAGAATGCAAAACAAATACAAATAACTAATAAAAAGCTGTTTTGTATGGTTGTCGAAGCAATATTCCCAATGGGTTACTTTATGGAAATGTTCCTTTTCTGCTAGGAACCTTGCATTTTGAACTACTTGATGGGAATATTTGAGGTCTTAACCTGCTGGTTGCTCACGAGATCTCTGTATTGCAGCTGAAGCGGGCAAGCAGTGACGACATGCTGACAAAACCAGGGGTGGCAGCAGCTTCCGGAGTCTCTAGACTGAAGAAGACCATCACAACAGGAGCCATTTCCGAGCTTGCGGAGAGTCGGCTGAAGCCCAGCACAGGTAGACACAAACATTCTGAAAGACAGGCTACTTCGTGTGAGCTGTGCTGTGAGCGGCGCTTGGTTTACCAGGGTCCTGCCGGAGTTTTCCTTGTCACCCCCTGCTAACGCGGCTGTAGCTACCTGCTGTGACACTGAGCACAGACCTGCTGCGCCTGCTGGCTTGCGCCCACGGGTCAGTGCTGGGGAGCCCCGCCCCCGCGGCGACAGCGTTGTCTCTTCCCCCGCTGCTGAACGGGCTGTTCCCGGGACACAGCAGAGACGCGAGAGCCAAGAGCCAGCCCTAGCGTCTTCCTGCATAGCTTGTGCTCCTAAGCTGCGCTGCGGCACGCTCTCTCCCTCGGCCCCGTCAGCCTGTTCCTGGTGGTGTCAAATCCAAGCCAGTTTCTAAAGGCAGCGACACCATCTGCATACCAAGGGCTTCTGTGCAAACGCCCTGGTTTCCCCCAGGAGCTCAGCAAACGCTTGCTTTTGTCTGCTCCCTGGTGGCATTTCCAAGGGAATGTGAGATCTTATTAAATTTGACCATGACCTCCCTATTTGTCACAGCCTCTGTGGGGTTTGGCTGTGTAACAGAGCAATGTTACTAACCAGAAAGGGATTTCTGAATAAATAAAAGTCTTTGTATGCTTCTGCCCACCCCCAGAAGAAGATGATGTGTCTTGTAACATCATAAATGCTTCGCAGTAACCCAAAGACGGATATTGTTCTGCAGTTAATCGGTGTGTAAATCCTCAAATTTACTAGTGCCTAGTTGTATCCAAAGGCATTTGAGATTCACCAGCCAATAAAGAGGCATGACGCTGGCAAAAGATGCTTGGAAGGAGTAATGAGGGGAGAAGAAAACCTGTGCGGATGATGCAGCATAGGATTCTGGGAATGCAGCCAGGGAAACAGCTCTGCAGGGAGTCTGGAATGGAATACATATGTCAGATACAAAAATACTAGCACTGGAATAGAGAGCCCCCTTCTGCATGCATGTATAATTACTGGGATTGAGGGAGAGATAAGATTTATGATGATGACTACTTTAAATACAAAGGGTAAAATGGTTTATGGAGGTCAAATTACATCTGGGTATTGTTTTGCCAATTTAAATTACATCATTAGATCTAACCTCGTATATTGCTTTGCATCAGCATTTGTTAGAAGTGTGAATGGGAATATTCATGCTGGGGAAAAAAGGTCCAAGTGTGGAGCTATCTATAGAATGTGTGTCGCTATCATGGCCACCGAAAGGTGCTAGATATTAGCGAGCAAGGTTACAAAGCTGGATGCTGCTTTTAGACTGTTACACTGTGGAAAAAATACCAATACACATCTTATAATTCAGTATATTGTTGCTAAGAGGAAAATTAAAAATTGGATGTGACAGAGGGCACAATATGTTCCTGGGAACATTAAGTAGAATAGGAAAGAACATTGTTTCAGCTGCTATTTTTTATTGAAATGACATCCCAAATAGTCCCTGATTGTGATTAAGACTATACTGCAATGCTAACTGACTGCGGAGCTAATCCAAGCAAGAACGCTCCTGTAGCTGGGAAATGCAGATGTTTGTGTATATAGCCAACTGTGTAAATCTTGAAATTTTGTTCTGAAACCACTTTCCTTGGCTTCTTTGCCTTCATCAGTTCTGCAATTTCCTTTCATGTCTTGACTGCAGACATCGTGTCTTCCCTCTAGCTTTGTTTGTGCTTTTTAGATTGGACTTTCTTTGTCTGTTATTCAAGTGAACAATTTGATTATTTTACTGAAATGATAGTGTATTAGTTCTGACTACACTCTGGTGGTACTCAGTTGGTATTATGGTATTGTGTAAGCAAAACTAAAAAAAACCCACAAGGTATGGAAACAAAAAAAGCTTAGGTTTGTTTCTTCTTTGGGTGTGACTGTTCAACATTTGTGTGTGACCTGGAGCAGTAGCATGTGTTCCAAATGCTGCAGATAATAAATAATTGACATTAAGATTGCTTGTTTAAACAGCCTTGTCTTTATGCTGCCCTCGGTGGAGTTTAAGTTATTCGTTCTAGCCTTTTGCTGACATAACTACCCCTGTCCGCCTTGTTGGAAGCTAACGCAGTAAATCATAAGAGACTTAAAGGGAGATGAGGCCAATCTCATGTCTCCGTTCTTGGCAAGTGGAGTTGAGTAAATGGAACTGGAGATGGATCCTGGCTGGAAGTTCTGTGCTGTGGTGTTTGGCTTTGTAACTGCTTGGCAGTTTTGAAATCCCAAGTAATGGGAATTGACACACAGGGAGAAGTAAATGTATTTGATTTGGCTTCCTTATCCACAGTGTTATGTTTTTCCATGTACTGTCCTGAAGTAGTAATTTGGTTTGATGTTAAAACCAAACTTATAGAGCTCTTGCATTGCTTTTAATATTTCAGTAGATGAAAAAGAACTGGAAAAATTGTAAAACAGAATGAAGAGGTCACTGATCTTGAAAAATGCTTATTTTAATGCATGCACTTGTAAATCACCTAATCTATGAAGCCATATAGTAAATAAATTATTTTAAAATGTTTAGAGAATTTGTACCTTCATGAGAAATTAGGACTCTTCACCCTAAGGTTCAGGATTATAGGAAATCAGTGATTTTTCAGATTCTGGTCCTTCGTGGTTTGCAAGCCAAATAACATTGAATACTGCAGTTTCAGGGAGAATTTTAAAGTTTCTTTTGTGATCAAATACTTCTTAGGAAGAGCATTGCATGATAGTACCGGTATGCAACTGGAAAATTTGAGGTTTAGACAGGTGAAATTACTTGCTCAGTGAATCCTAGAAGTCATTACAAATCCTTGCTCTCAGTTCTGTCACTCGCTCCCTACAAACTCCCAATTCAAGCACTTTCTGAAAATTTCCCTCCAGGCTGTCTAGTTTAATCATGCTGATGTACTTCCTTGCTGTTATTTCAGCGCTAGCAGCTATTACCTGTTAGGTTTGACAGGAACCAAGAAAAGTCTTATGCTGGACATTAGAAAAGTGATACAGCCAGGATGTGTGATTAGTCTGGGCTGGGACCACGTAATCTGAAAGCATTGAGAATAATTCAGGTATCCCCACTTCTCACAAACATACTATTTTGTGGTTTTGTTTTTTTTATATTAAGCTCTACCAGCTCCATGTCTATCCAGTATAGGTATTGGTTATCCTCGAACTGTCAATAACAGATAGCTGTACTTGTTTTCTCAGGCTGCTTCATCAGCTTATTTATTCCTAAGTAAAGTCTAAATCTATAGACCTACTGAATTTGCCTTAGAAATAGTAGAAAGTGTCAGTAACAATGTTATAATTGCCTAACTTACTATTTATAGAGATCCTGGATATTTTACTGACAAGCAGTGGATCTCTCTAAAGCTCAAACCATGTTAGAAGACAGACCCTTCTCACAATGATAGGATATGTTGTATCTATGGAGGCCGGGAGAAGCCAAGGTGCCAGCAAGAATGTGAGGAATGGCCTACTGTGTCATCCTGTGCTCCATCAGAAATGGTCATTTATTATTATGCTTTAAATGGGAAAATCAGTAACTGGCATACAAAAGTAACAAGAAGAGTGTGTTGCTTTCTGTGAATGCCTGCTAAGTTGATGAACATCAATGCGTGGTGACAGTGCTAATACACCAATATAGAGGAGGCAAACTCAAAGTTATTGACAGTTTCAATTATCTCCTAGGCATCTAGTGCTGAGACTGTGAACTGTGGGTTACCTGGACAAAAGCTACTAATCCAGAATGGAACATTGCCAGCATTAGAAATGAAGCTGTACAAAGCGTGCTGTTTTAATAAGTGCAGTAAATTAAACAGTCAAATAAAAATACCCAGAAATCTGGCATAATCAGTGAAGGCTATAGAAGGATCTGAAGATTGTATTCTGTTGTGGAATAGTTTGATTTGAACCGTGTTCAGTTCCAGTAAGGAGGGCCTCTGTTTTAGTGAGCTTTTCTGTGAAGTGTCACTCACCTTCCTGCCCAATAGTCAGAGTTAACATCCCATGACTAGATATGATACCTGTATACCTTCTATGCCTTCCTAGTTCTAGTAGAGCACATTCCATTTGTCCGTCACTGTTTGTTTGCCATGTAGTTCATGTAAAAAGAAAAATCTTGGTTTCACTCTAAAACATACTTGCTTGTAGCTTTTCTGTGTTGCTAGTGATGATATTCAGAAAAGAGAGGCTGTAACTGAATGAGGCTAACTGGCCACTACCAGTGTTCGTGTTAGAGCTGGGGAAGTAGGAGTGCCACTTGTGGAACCTGAAGAAGTTCAACTGTGGATGATTTTAGAGGGCAGACTGGTGTATGGTTTTATTGCACGTATTGCTTGTTAGATATGCTTCTTTCCCATCAAAACTGAAAATGTAGCAGACTACAGATTTCAGAGCTTCCTGTGCATTTATAGAATTGTCACTTCAAGATTTCTATTTGAGTAATATATGGAATCTGTCAAATTTACTGCTTCTCTTCTTGATGTTAACTTCTCTGCTTGGCAAGTGTGTGTCACTTTCTGATGTGGGGTAACCATTTAGGTTAATGTGAAGCTAATCCAGACCAGAAGCCTTCTCTACATGATCAGAAAATTAAAGAAAAGTATTTTTCTTAATAAAAGCTTTCTTTAAAAAAAAAAAAAACCACCCTTGAAAAAAATCTAATTGACAGTTTAATTCTTTGTAAAATGCTAATGTACCCCAATTAGAACAGGAAAAAGAAAAGTGATTTCTTTTGAAGGACAGCTCTCTGTTGACCTTGGGGTCCTTTTACTCTCCCATACATCAGTTTTTGACAGGCCTTGCTGTTTGTGATCTGTCACATCAAAAGACTACTGTAGGCTTGTAGAAAGGTTGCTGCACTTTGCATTCGGTCTCGTTACTGTCTCATTTTTCTTGTGAAAGATAGACAAGTGTGAGACACTAATGAGGTTGTTGCGTTCTGTTCCACAAGACTTCACTAGAAACCAGATGACTGATCTCATCTGGGGTTTCCCAGGAACAATGTGC